CTCTCCTTCTCTCCTTCTCTCCTTCTCTCCTTCTCTTTTTCTCTCTTTCTCTCCTTCTCTCCTTCTCTCCTTCTCTCCTTCTCTCCTTCTCTCCTTCTCTCCTTCTCTCCTTCTCTCCTTCCCTCCTTCCTCCTTCTCTCCTTCTCTCCTTCTCTTTTTCTTCTTTCTCTCTTTCTCTCCTTCTCTTCTTCTCCCTTCTCTCCTTCTCTCCTTCTCTCCTTCTCTCCTTCTCTCCTTCTCTCCTTCTCTCCTTCTCTCCTTCTCTCCTTCTCTCCTTCTCCCCTTCTTCTCTCCTTCTCTCCTTCTCTCCTTCTCTCCTTCTCTCCTTCTCTCCTTCTCTCCCTCTCCTTCCCTCCTTTGCCTCTCTCGCCCTAAGCCTCAAGCCCCAAGAAACCTGACACTCTAAACATACATGAATTCATTGGCCGAGTAACGATGGCTCACACTGCTCACGCTTGAGAGCAATGTAAAGCGACTCCAGCGTGTACTGAAGCAGGGAGCGGCCCAAGTCTTGCACGCTGTCATCTGTCACACTGCGCTGAGAGTACAAGGTGGCCTGCTTGGACGCGATCTGGGTCACCCTTGCAAGCTTGGTGTAGCCATTGGACAGGATATCTCGGCCATGCTCACGATGGATCCTGGTCAAGATCTTCACGCCGTCGACGGGGTCGAGGGTCGTCGCCACTGCAAGGGCGCCCTGCAGCATTGTCTTGTTCACACTGGCACCATTGAACCTCACGCCATCATCCTGGAGCAAGTTCAGGAGCTGGCTCTGTTTGATCTCGTCACCCTCAGAGAGGTACTTGGTCTGGATTCTCATGACCTTGTACGAGAAGTCTTGAAATGAATCCGCCAGCTCGGGGATTTTGACACTTTCACTCTCAATGAGCGACTTGAGCAGCAGTTCTTGCCCTTTCAGAGTGTAGGCTCTGAGTGTCAAAGTCATCCCCATGTTGAAGAGCTGGTTCACTCTCTTCTCATCGTTCTGGACAAGGGCCCTTGCCATGGCCATGTACCACGCCAGGAGGGGCAGGTGGCCCCGCATGAGGCGCAAGCCAGCGGGCCAGGTGTCTTTGTGAGCCAGATTCGCACTCACATCATAGACAGGGAAGGGGTTCTTGAAGTAGAGCGGCTTGTCGATGGAGGGCATCATCTTCTCCTCCACGTCAAAGATTTCTTTCCATGACACTTCCTCCAAGGCCAGCTCTTCCCCCCGGTCCATTGACCCTGCCACATCCGCCCAAAAGATGGTGCCTCCTGCTTCGTACATATTTTGCTGGCTCACACTGATTTTGCAGTTCTCAGGAGACCAAATCTCTTTGAAGTTGCACCGACCACGATTCGCGGCATCGATCTCGAAGGGCCCCAAGTCACACAGACTCTTGACGGACAACTTCAAGAAGGCAGGGAGTCGCTCATGCACCTGGCGGTCAGGGTTCTCAGAATGTCACACACACAAACACACACACTCTGAGCACATTGTTTTGCTGGGTGACAGTTATTTTTTGCACATCACTGCTGCTGAGGACGCTGCCACTCGCACCACAGTCTTCATGCCAGGCAAACAGCCCGTTGTCCTTGCAGCCTGCTCCTCCGGCAGCTGTGGCATCTCTGTGGGCGAAGGCGGCGAGTCACCCTGAGGCAATTTGCCCGTCGGGACAGTCACAGCCGCTTGTCTTCCAGGTTGACCGTGCAGAAGTCTCTGGATAGACGCGTCATCACTGGTGGTCTTCACTCTGGAAGCGGCCATGGTCAAGAAAAGCGAATTGCAAAATGGCTGGCGGGGCCAAGCGCTTAAGCCGCGGCGGCAACAAAAACCAAGGTTGCAATTCACCCTGGCCTAGCGCTAGGTCGGGGTGTATTGGCACCTCAAACCCCGCCTACCAATACACCAAACTCATGTTGCGAATTCTAAGGGTATTGCTTGGTTACTTAGCAAGTGGCAATACACCCCGACCTAGCGCTAGGTCGGGGTGTAATGCCACTTGAGTTTGAGTGACACAATACACTTTTGCGATCAAAAACTGGCCGTGCACCGGGCGCCCGGCCCGGGTGAGTGTCAACAACGACCATGAACGAGCCTTGCAGATGACTTCTGAATCACACTAAAGTACCTTAAAGGCCAAAACCCCAATTTGTTTGAAACCTTTTAAACCATCAACACCCTAAACCCTAAGAACTCTGAATCGTCCCCAAAGGCGGCAAAATATCCTATCCCAAAACACAACCACACTCTTGGAACAATGGGGGCCCGGCACCAGCCAGCCTGAAGGCGGAAGTTCACACTTGTGGAAGTCGCAGGAGTGAGATGGTAACACACATTGTCGCTCGGGGCCGCACAGTTGGAAGGCGATTTGCTGACTGAAGACGGTCACCTGGCTCAAGGGGCTCTCACAGTGATATGAGAGTGGGCACTGGCTCCTCTGTCACCCTATATGCACCAAATACAACCACACAGCTGTTTCTTCATCAAGCGCCTGCTGTGTTTCATCTCTGCACAGCCAGACCTTACCCCCCGCCCCCCTGTGGAGTTCACATCTGAGAACGCCCTCAGACTATGTGCTTTGCTCCATGGTACACCTGCTGCAATCTGACTGACCCTTACAAAAAGAGCGATCCCAAACGTCACGTGTTTTTCTTAGCCCTCTTCTTTGGAGGGTTTGCTACACTGGCTGACACTCCGAAATTAAAAGAAGCTCCTTGCTTGCCGGGAACATGCTTCCCAGGGGTTAATCGTCGAACGGCTGACATCCAGCTGTACAAAGAGGCCATGTCGTTCACAGTGGCCCTTGGTTCAGCATCGTTCACACTCATCTTCCAGGAGCTGTTCGGAATTTGTGTGAAATGTCGGACAAGCTTGCTAAGGCTCTGGAAGTTCGCCCGAAACTGATCACTCAGGTGCACTGTGGAAACGCTTCCCTTGATGGCCGGCTGATAATATCTCACCCTCTGTAGCCGGTGGCTGGAATTCCAGTCCTGCCTCGACGCAAGACCCTTGCCAAGGGCCACCACGGTCAAATAGACGCGAGCCATGTCGATCCTCGCAAAGTCACAGACTCATTCAGATTCATGAAAAATCAACCGACCTGACCCTTGGGTAAGCAGGAGTGTTGCCGCTTGGAAGCAATTAAACTAAATCGCGTCAAGCGTCCCAGCCCTCATCTGCTCCACCGCTGAAAGATCGTCCACGACCACGACAGTGGCTGTTTGGAGCACTTGAAAATTGACCTGCTCACCCTGAGGTCGCTTCACCCTCCCAGCAAGAGGCTGCTGAATGCCATCTTTCGTGAAATCCAAGATGACAGCGTTGTCCCTCAGGCCGGCACCAGCAGGGCCCTGCATCACACTTCCGGTCCGCAGCTCCGGCTTTGGCGCCCGAAGGCCGAGCTTCCGCCTGGTTCTATCGGCCTGACCAGCCTGAGCCTTCCTCACCGTGTTCTTCTGGAATTTGCGAAGCTCCGTGCACCAAGCGGGACTGTCTGCCAGTTTGTACCTGTTTGGCCTCGCAAAGTCATTCACCCTGTGGCCCAGGAACGTTCTGGCCGACGAAAGTTCTTCTGTGGACATGCTGCACAGTTTCCGGACTGTTTCACGCTGACCCTTGAACTTGGCCGAAACACCACGACTGCTGGGGACCCGAACTTTACCGGCATCCGCTCGCTTCCGATAGGAACGAAACCGTCGACCGAACCACTCTATCCAAAGCTCCTGGCAGGAACGCGTGAAATCTGTCATCTGCAGGGCTGCGCAGCCTGCGAATTGCAAACCACAAGAGGACTCGACAGCTGCGACTGAAGCTTGCACCGCTATCTCTTCTTCACGCTGTGGGCCATCCAGTCGCAACTCCAACAAGTGTCCAACGGTAACGCCCTCCAGGTCAAGCGGGCCTTTGCACTCTTGGAGGAAGCTGCGCAGTTGGGACAAGTCACGCTCCACGGAGCATTCGCCATCCAAGACACAAAGGTACAACCTCACACTGGGCTTCAACGCCTCTAGGCTTCCACTCAGCACTGTCCTCCACGCCGGCCTGCAATCTTGATCCTTGCGACACCTGCTGAGTGTTGCTTTGTCCGCCAAGAAGACTGCCACCTGACTCTCGAACTCCGTAACCGCCAGGGCCTTGTCCACCTCCTGCCCTGTCAGCTTCATGACCATCTTGAAGCGGGCTATCTGGTCCAGGCGTGTGGCTTGCCATGCGGCGGCGTCACCCTGACGCATCTTTTCACGGGCCGCTTGCCACAGCTGCAGATCAAAGCAGCTGAACCTCATTATGCTTGTCTTGACTCTGCAGAGAACCAGTAGCCCCTGTACTGTTTGGGCGCTTGAACTGTTCAAAAGGATCCCATTCAAAGTCAAGGCCTAGGAGCGCCACGTGAGAGTCGGAGCAATGGCAGTCTGCCATCACTCTGGCAATGGTGGCGTCGACACATGCCTGGGCGCTGGTCATCACACTTTGGCATTGGCTCTTGGACATTGGCCCCCACATCGTGTGCAGCCGATCACAAAACTGAACGGTAGCACACTGCATGGCATTGCGACAGGCTTGAAAAGCAAATGTCCCCACGTCAGTTGCTTCGGGTTCACACAGCACCCTCCCTTCCAGGAATAACTGTCGCAGGCGGCCTAGGAAGAAGTCACGCTCCCGAAGGACAGCAGATATATCGTGATCTGCTCGGTCGTTGAGCCGGACATACTGAAGCACCTCGAGTCCGAAGTCCGTGGCCAAGCCAGCTGTCAGGGCATGCTCAGCAGTCATTGACTCTAGCATTTTTTGGCTTTTGCATCTGATGCCGGCTTCCAATCTTTCGTCCGACCTTGGCTCTGGTTGCATTAAAGTGTTTCAAACTGGACTGAATTTTGAACCTACAATATCAAACACCAAAGCACAAAAGCCCACACTGATAACACTAGCAAGTTTCGCTTGGTACGCCAAAAGGAGCGCTATCGGCTCCAGCATTAAGCAATAGCGAGCCTGCGGCGTTGCTGATGAGTCGAAGCGCTGCTTGGCATAGGACAGAGTAGTCACCGCTCGTCGAAGATTTGGCATCGTCGGTGCCTGACAGGTTCAAAGACATTATTGGTTTGAAGTCTAAAAGGTTTTATTTTTAATAATATAAGGGTTTTAAAGGGTTTAGGCTCTACGGTTAACCTTCCGGCCTCACGCTGTAACACTGCAAAGCGAAGGCGCCATGCGTCTGAGTTCTGCAACGCCGGTATCACTCTCCCAAAATGGTCCCAGAATGATTTAAAGCGCGGCTCCAAAGTAATTGCCAGAGCTGCACGCCGTATTTGGTGTGCTCTGTCCACTATCGTCACACTCAAGTTGGGAAGACAACGTCCGCGCATGAGCGCCATGGACTTCTTCATCGCAGCCGCACCATCTGTGGTACACGCCTTCACAGTGTTCAAGATGTGCTGCAACAGCGCATCGTTCGTGTCGTCACCCTCCGGGGTGCAAAGCATCTGGAAAGCTGCCTTGACACTGTCGGCCACTTTGATCCCATAGTCCTCTTCCAAATCACGGGTGGTTGTTCCAGTCATTGTTCCATGATACTTCAGCACTGCTGCCACTCCAGTGATAACACAAGACTCCTCACCCTCACCCTGGAGTGTCTTGCTGCAGGCCCGAAACCTGATCACCCTGTATGGTGCTTTGTCGTCCAGGGCAACGGAACAGCAACTGCTATTCTTCAATGCTTCTCGTTTCCGCCGCCTGACAATCTCGACCATGACAAGGACCATTCGTTTCAACGTATATCTGGTCACACTCTTCTTGCGAATCGCGATGTAGGTCTCGGTGACAGACTGGGCCGCAGCCTTGTTGTATGACACTGGACTCTTGATCATCCGCCAGCAGCGGAGCCAGTCCTGAGTTCAGCCGGGGTAGGTTAAACTAAATTTTCTAAGTTAGTAATTCTGGACACTGATCCTTCTTGACTCTACAAGTATTGCATCCAAAGCTCTGCAGGCGTCGGAACTGACCCTGACAGCAGCTCCTCGTCCTCACGGCTTCCCAGGATAAGACTCTCCAGCGGTGCATCCGGTAATGACACTCCGCGAATTGCTCTCTTGTGGATGTCACTCTCGGCGTGATTCTGGAACGAGCTGGCCTGCATCTGGGAAAGAGTGCGGATCTCGTAGCGGGCAAACTTTGTGTCGAATCGGCGGCGCAGGTGCCGGGCCCGACTGTCACTCTGTGCTGCGCGTGCTCTAAGTGCAGCGCAAGGCGCGCAACCTACAGCCCATTCGCCGGCTAGGCTCGCCGGGCGTTCTGCCAGCCATGCTGTTCGGACACGTTGACCCTCACTCTGCTGAAGGAACGACCCGTGTGATCGCTGCCACTTGGAACGAAACTTCACGAACCAACACCTGGGGCACTTTGAGTTGAAACTCTCATGGCAGAATTTCGCACCAGCAGGAATCACGCTGACACTGGAGTCTCCACTGTCTGGGATGTTTCTGCGAAGCTGTCTGCGGCCGCTCTGCGATTTGTCACTGGAAACCGCCGGGGGTGTCTCACACTCACCAGAATATGCTGCAGCCAACTTCCCTTTCACAGGCTGAAAACCACATTGCCGCCGTTTCATGACTTTCACACTCACCGCACAACGGAGCCAAACGGTACATCAGGCCAGCACAAATTATACACTAACCTGTATGATTTAGTTCGGCGGATGTCTCTTGCCGATCTAGACTTTGACACTGACCATCGTAGACTCTAGTTCGGCGAATGTCTCTTGCCGATCTACA